AGCATTTTTCTCAAATGCAATCTTGTTTCTACTGCAGCATTTTATTGACACTATATGTTATAAAGGAACAAAAAATGTCATATCAGACCTTATAATGTATTTTGTGATTATGAATAGACATAATAGTTATAAAGGAAGGAATAGAGTATTTGTTTAAACTTTTTCCTTGTTTAATGCATTGATCCCAATTCAAAATCAATCGTACCGAGTCTGCAACATTTTCAATTTTGTCGTTTTGTACGTTCTTTAGGGATTCTTTATTTCTCTCTATTTTAACTTTCGTCAGAGATGTAGGTAGGATCTTGATAATATCTATGTCTCTGCTTTTGTACCTGCTATATTACTTATTATCTTGATATATACAAAGTTACTGATTTTTTTTTATAAAATGGACTAACTGACTCCATCTGTCAATATGTCATGATAGTTGGTAACTTTGATATACCGACTTAATAGCTTTGAATTGACAAATAATCAAAATAATTTCAATATTAATACTGTTGCACCATTGTCTTATACAAATAGCTTGTCTAAGGAAAATGGCGGATTTTGCAAACATCTAAGCGTGAAACTGATAACGATCGCCGACTGGCTTATCTGTAAGACCCCTGCCAGCTTGATTGACAGGCGGCGTAATGTCAATTGATAATGGATTAGCATATACATGTATGTGATTTTTGCATACTGTTGTAATATAAAACTGTATTAGGTTCATGCTTCATGTATGTTTATCCAAAAGTGTCCTAAAAGTTGAAGAAAAAGTTTATTCAACAACGATCTATTTGAATGTCAATTTCTTTTTATTCATACTAAAACTGACTAATCTAAAACATCCAATACAATAAAAAACAGTACAATAACAATCAATAATTTCGACAAGGTGACACTTTTCAAGGTTACATAATATTGATTACACATTATGCTTAAAAATAAAACGAGGGTATCATTAAAAAAAAATTATTTTCATATATATCCACCTTGATCCATTCTTGACTTAACTACACCCTGACAGCGTAGACCTAAACTGATTGTGAGTTGCCTGACATAATAATACAGGTATGCTTGCTCTTTCCATTAAAAATTACAGTTATAAGTGCTGTCTGTTTTCTCCACTTGATATTGCTTTATGTAAATGCAGTTGAAATATGGTGGCAAAATCAAAGTTGAGCATAGTATATTATCTTTAATCAAATTCAAAACTTTAAACACTTTTTGAAATAAATTTAATCACCATTTTGTCAGCAGTATAGAGTAATCATTAAATCATTACCTATTTTATATCTGCAGCAGATTTAATAACATGAGGTCACTAGATTTTCAATATTTTAAAGCAAAACACAATTTTTGATAAATATCCCAAATTTTAATATCTAGGATGTTGGGTTTTCTGAAATGATTTTACTTCCTCTTTCTCTTTCAATCTTAAAAAAAATAACTCTGTTCTTTAATATTTTTATATCTGACATTTGTTAACTCCCTTTGATGATGAAAACTGACACACGATATTTGCACAAGACAATTTGTATTATTCTTCACAAATAAATTCTGATCTGCCTTTATTAATTTAACCTGCTTTGAATACATTAACTTTAGCTGTAATTGAGAATTGATCGGCAAATGCATAAATCTAATTTTGATATACTGTTGTAATTTAGTCATTCAAAGCTGTACTTGATTCATGTTTTACTTATGTTAATCCAACTGTCATAATAGTTTGAAGAAAAAGTGTATTCAACAATGGTTACTTTGAATGACACTTTTTTATTCATATTAAAACTGACTATCTAAAACATCCAATACAATAAAAACAATACACTAAAAATCAACAATTGTAACAAGGTGACACCTTGTCCAAGTACATTGATACTCAACACATTATACTTAACAAAATAAAACAAGGGTTTCAATTTCAGAAATAATATTTTTCCATATATATCCACCTTGATCTTGATTAAATTATAGCCAGACAGCGCAGTATCTTAATTGTTTCTGACATATTTATACTGTTCTATTTCAACATTACACTTTGGTACAGTTTTGAGTGCTTATACTTTCCTTCCATTGGTATTGTTTTTGTAGATGCAGTCAAAATATGGTCGCAAATTCAAATTTGAGCATAATATATTATCTTTAATTAAATAAAAAAAACTTGACCTCTTTTTTAAATAAATTTAAATGAAACTTGTCAGTAGTATAGAGTAGTCTCAATAATTCGACGACAAGACAGACATATTTTATAATCTGATATTTCATAGATGTCTGTCTTTACGCGAAGGGCGACCATCGTCTATATAAAAAAGCCCTAAAGCACACAATTTGTTGGGCTATAGTATAGAGTAATCATTAAATTATTACTTTTCAGAAGATTTAAGATCATGAAGTCACTAGATTTTCAATGTTTTAAATCAAAACAAAATTTATGAGAAATCTTTCACCAAGTGTTGAATTTATATACTAGGATGTTAGGTTTTTTTATGAAATCATTTTACTTCCTATTTTCTCTTTCAATCTTAGAAGATAATCTCTGTCTTTAATATTGTTATATCTGACTTGAAGTTGTTATCTCCCTTTGATGATGAAAACTGATAGCACAATTCTTCACAAATAAATTCTGATCTGCCTTTATTAACTTAACATGCTTTGACTCTATCAACTTTAGCTGTAATTGAGAATTGATTGGCAAATACATGTATGTGATTTTGGTATACTGTTAAATTTATTTAAGTGACTCAAAGCTGTACTAGATTCATGTTTCATGTATGTTTATCAAAAAGTGTCATAATAATTAAAAAAAAAAGTTAATTCAACTACGGTTACTTGTATTAGATTTTCGTTTCATTCATACTAAAACTGACTAACCTATAACACCCAATATAATAAAAATTACAATTTATACAAGGGGACACCTTGTCAAGGCAAGGTACATTGATAATCAACACATAATACTTATCAAAATAAAACAAGGGCATCAATAAAAAAATTAATCCTTTTTATATATATATATCCACCTTGATATTGATTTTATTATAGCCAGACAGCACCGTGAGTGAGTGAGTCACAAACTGTTTATGATTTTTCTGATATATTTATAATTTTCCATTTCAACGTTACACTTTGGTACAGTTTTGAGTGCTTATTACTTTCTTTCCATTGCTATTGCCTCTTGTTGATGCAGTCGGAATATGGTCACAAGTTCTAAATTTGGGCATAATATATTATCTTTGAATAAATAAAAAAAACTTGACCTCTACAATAATCTAAATCATTAAATTTTTACCTTTTTGTATAACTTCTGTAGATGATTTAAGGTCATGAAGTCACTAGATTTTCAATATTTAAAAAGCAAAACAAAACACTTCAGGAATTTCCCGTTTACTGGATTTATTTTTAACTCTTAAGAAGATAACTCTCTTGAGCAGGTATTTCATATGACTTTGTTATCTCCCTTTGATGATGAAAACTGATTGACACGAGATATTTGCACAAGAAAATTTGTATTATTCTTCACAATTAAATTATGATCTGCCTTTATTAATTTAATATGCTTTGAATTAGTTAACTAAAGCTGTTATTGAGATTTGATCTTTAAAATTTAAAAAAAACACGCATGTGAATTTGGTATACAGTTGTAATCTATGTGACTGGAAATAATATTATCAAAATTGTACATTAGATTCTATGCTTTATCTATGTATATAAATCCAATAGATTTGAAACATTTTGAAGGAATAGGTTTCTTCACAACAGACGGTAACTTAATTTTGTATGACAATTTCTTTATTTTTAATTCATAAAAACATACCTAACATACTTACTTAAATACAAACAAGTTTCAACAAGGGCAAAGGTCACGGGTACATTTGATACTTATAAAAAAAGGGTATCAATTAATAAATATATTTTCATGCCCATACTTGATCTTGACATTTATTTATAATTGGACACAGAAGTGCTGGACCCCTACAACGATACATAAACTCCAAACTGTTCATGAGTTAGATGCGTGACATCAATTACTACAAGTTTCATATGACCCTGGTTTTTAATTCTATAGCCATTTTCATTTAACGTTCCAGTTTTGAATAGTTCAATGCTTATCTATATACTTCTTCATTTGATTGTAGTTCATTGTTTATGTAATTGCTGTCTTGAATTATAAAATATTTTGCTCAGACATGGGTCTGCCGGAACACGGCTTTTTACGTACACAACTAATGGGATTTTGAACTTGATTAATAAAATGTAAGATACTGACAGAATATTGATAATAGCATGGATTTTGTGTGGAAAAATTATTACTATGTTCTGCCTTTAATACCAGTTTTTCTTCTTTGGCACTTCTTTTGGTCATTAAATGAGATGAGAGTACAACTCCGGTTCTTACTCGTAACACGATTTCTGTCTTTCTGGTTTAGTTTATAGACAGATTTATGAAGGGAATAAGTGCCTCGGGTCTTGGGATGCTCTCTGACGGAGAAAGAAAGGCCAGTTAACAGAGCTGAAGGGAGGAGATACTAATGAAAAAATAGAAATCTGAATAAGAAGAACATGCTCAGGAAAAGTTACGACTGGAACACAGATAGGGATCAGCGGCTGTACAAGAGAAAGATTTTAGCCAATAAGTGTTTATTAAACTTCTGCATACAATAGAAGTCTCTCTCTTTGGAGAATGAAAATTATTGGTTATTTTAAGGCTTTGTTAGCATCTAGAGAGGTTAAGAATTAGTGTTAAGTCTGATCTTGTGTTTTGTTTAAGAATTTTATGGTGAGTAAGGTGAATTACAATGTACTTGGTGATGTGTTATAAATTAATGTTTAAATGGGGCTTATCAGAGTCCTCAGTCAACGAAAGACTTTAAGTTGATATAATTAGAACCTTATATCCAAAAACAAATAAAAAATATCACCAGAAAGAAGATTGATGACATTACTTTGTAGAAAATTTATTTTGTTTCTTTTGCTCAGGTTAATATTAACATAGATCAATAGTGTTTTATGAGAAATGTTTCATCATGTATTTTCTGTATATTTTAGAAAGGAGAGAGACAATATAAATGAGCAGTTAAAACAGAAGGAGATACAGCTGAACACATTTGGTAAAACTTTACAAGAGTTGGAATCTGTAACAAGGTAAGTAATATTTCTGTCAACTCCTTAAGTTTGATTACAAGGAACAGTGGAAGCAGCCTACTTAATCTGGTATCGGTGTCTTTTTGAACTAACACAATTCCTTGTAAGGTTGTACATACAAATTCTTTCTGCACAAATATAACTTGAACCTATATGTTATATTTTTGTCATATTTGAAGAAAACTTGCGAAGGGCCATAACTGTAGTGTGAAATTTTACTGAATTATTACATGTTTAAGGTTGCAAAAAAAAATCCTGGTCATTTCTCCAAATAGATACAATTGATAATGCTTGAAAATTGACATAAAACCTGAAAGATCTTAAAGGCTGGCAAATAGAAAATGAACAAGACCCATCTTATGATACATCTATTAAACAGAAATAAGGATTATTTACTGTAATTCATTTTTCACTTGACAGAGAGAAGAGACAACTTGAAGCTCATGTTCAGAAATTGGAATCCTCTACTGGGGACTCCAAGGTGCTACTTGATGGCCAGAGAAAAGAGTTAATGGCCCTAAATGAAGCTCTTGCCAAATTACAGGAGAGAAACACTCGTCTAGAAGCCGAAAACCATACCATTCATGCTGATCTGAAGGCTCAAAAGGAATGTGGGAACCGCGAGGCTCGGGAATTAAATATTTCAATAAATGAATTAAAATCTCAACATGAAAATGAACGACACTTCCTCAATGATAATCTTTCACAAGTATGTTCATTACCTCATATCAAAACTGTTTATAAAATTAATTTCATATTTGAAAATTCTTCTTTTTTATTTAGATTTGTGTTTCTTCAAACAATTTTTATCATGATAATCTTTTAATGTAGACACAAACAAGATTACGGTCAGTGGAAGCAAGCCTGGCTGCAGCAGCTAGTGACAGAGATTCCATGCAGGCAAAGTGTCGTCTGCTAGAAAACACTGTACAGGAACTGCAGTCTAAGTTATCAGACGAGAGCACTGGACGAAGACTGGCCGAACAATCTGTAGGAACACTCAGGTTACAACTGGAGGACATGAAAAATGACAAGGTATACAAATCATATGATATTTAATATTTTAGTTATTTTAGCAATTGAATCTACCCATGGTACAAGCAGCCTTATAATAGTCTACACTGTTTCTTATTTACTTACTTAATACTTATTTTGAAATTTTATCTTATAAAAATGAATGGTTTTGTCCAGATTAAGGATGTCAATTGAAGATATTTAGCCTTGGAATGGTTAAGAAAAACGCATTTTGAAGAGACAGACATATGTTATTTATTGAAAAATGTTATTGCTTTGTGTTAATTTGTATTTCTATGTGTAATTATACCTTCATCTTTTATCTATAGAATGTAATTGAAGCTCGCTTTGTGGAGATGAGGAACCAGGTAATGAAGGCAGAGGAGAAGTTGAGGATAGAAGAGGAGAAATGTGTGGCTACATCAGCACAACTTCAGGAACTAAATGCTATCTCCCATACCAATAAATCAACGGTTAAAGCCAAGTCGGAACAAGTAGAAATGTTACAGGTACAGTTTGCCAGATGTCATGGTTCAGAACTTTTCACTATTTAGGGGAGAAAATGTGTAAGCGACCAGATAGCTCAGTGGTCGGACACGCGGAATGGTGTTCCGAGGGTCCTGAGTCCTAGTTCTGATCCGGCTGGACATGTTTGTCACCCTGTGACATTTGGCCTAATGTTGAGCTGTGACTAAATATAGCATAGAGTTTAATTTCATTAAAGCAGAGGAGTATGTCGTGGTTTAGAACTTTTCATTGTTTAGGGGAGAAAGATGTGTTAGCGGCCGGATAGCTCAGTGGGTAGAGCTGCAGAGCGGTATTCCGATGGTCCTGGTCAGGTTCTAAATAGTGAACAGTTTTTAACGGTGATGATCACTCCCCCACTATATTGAAATTCCTCCTGAAATATTTCAGGATTACAGGTCAATGTGAATTAAACTCTGAGATATATGCAGTGAGCTTGCTTGAGATTATTTGTCCAGGGAAGTTTGTAAAAGCTGAGGCACAGCATGCAAGTTCTGTTTAGATAAAATATTAGTGATTGGTTGTTAGAATGAATAGGTGAGATGAAATGGTAATGGCACTTGTATATTGGACTGTAAAGAAATATAACACATAAATAACAAAATAATTACACAACAAGATTCAAGGACAAAATAAAACATAAGATGATATTTTTAATAAAATGAATAGTAAAAACATGGCACATATTTATCTTTTGGCAATCACAATTCTTATGTATGCCATCATTTATTTAGAATGCAAAAATAACTTCCTTCTCTTAATACTTATACTTTAATTTTTAACTTTTTATATTTATACATTTCAGAAGGAGATTAGTAATTTGAAACAGATTATAGAAACACAGAAACAGAATCTTAATGGTAAAATCAAAAAGTCAGCTCTAGAATATCAACAACAAATGTAAGTAAAAGGAAGGAGCGTTAAGTCAAAACAATGTTTTCTCATATGACATCAGTACTGGTTAGTTCCAGTCAATTCAAAGTTTTAGACATTTCTATATTAAAATTTAAAAAAGTATAGCTACAAACAGTATAGAGTCTGGTCTGAGGGTATGGGGATGTGCATGCTGGCCTGGTTCTATACTAATGGCAATGACTAATCTTTTTTTTGGTTATTCTAAATATGTGTATTTACACTATGTAATTTATATATTACAGTGAAAACATTGAAGAAGAGAAGGATAAATTTCAGTTATTAAATCAACAATTATCGACAGATCTTGACTCATGCAGGGAACATATTGCCAGCAAAAATAAAGAAAACCTTAAGGTACGCAATAACAAACAGTAACTGATTTTAACATGTGCTATCAATGCTCGCCTCCTGTCATGGAAAATAAATCAGTCTTTACAATTAGTGAATTAGATAATAATTTTATCATTGTCAGATACAAAATTGATTTTGCCCCAACCAGCTTTAGTTCTTTGAATAACTTCCGTCAATGTTTGGTTTTCTGATTGTGCCAACAGTTGTTCAACTATTCACCACCTACGTCCCCCAAACAAATTATCATTGCAGAACCAGAGAGTCTGAATTTTGACTTAGGGATTATGACATTGTGTTTATGACCAGTTTGTGTTTTCTTGTATGATACCAGTGATTCCAGTAGGTTATCTCAAGTGTGATTTATATAAGCTTCAGTATTTTTTATGCTCCCCGAAAAAAATCGGGGGAGCATATAGTCGCCGGGTTGTCCGTCCGTCAGTCCGTCCGTACGTACGTCCCAAATGGTTTCCGATCAATTACTAAAGAACCCTTAGGCCTCTTCAAACTTGGTATGGTGATTGGTCATGGCCAGCAGATGACCCCTATTGATTTTGGGGTCAAGGGGTCAAAGGTCAAGGCCACATTGACCTTGCAGGTAAAAACGGTTTCCGATCAATAACTAAAGAACCCTTAGGCCTAGGAACTTCAAACTTGGTATGGTGATTGGTCATGGCCAGCAGATGACCCCCATTGATTTTGGGGTCAAGGGGTCAAAGGTCAAGGTCACATTGACCTTGCAGGTAAAAACGGTTGTTTTTACACTTTGAACTTTGTCTGTGACATAACTCTGACACTACAAGAGGTATATCTTCCTGTGTCCAAAACCTATGCGGGGAGCATCACCCGGTTCAACCGGCACTTGTTTAAAATTGAGGTAAAATTATTATGTTTAAACTTATCGAATATGAGTTATTGCCTTTAGTTATGTTATTATCAATGTTATACTGTTTTGTAACTATAGCTACAAGAGGAGATATTGGTGCTAGAGGATAATGTTAGAGAATGTAAGGTGAAACAGAAACATGCTGAGGATACATTAAAGATAGAGGCTGATAAACAAATGGAGTTACATGCTAGGTACATTGTATATTCATTTCTTTTCTGTTCCTCTTACAGCATTTCTATATATATATATAAACATTTTGTCAGACTTCATTGTCTGTTTGTTATGTTTGAAAGCTTAACATGTGAAATTCATGGATTTTTTCTGTTTAATTGTTAACAGGCATGAATGTATATTTTGTTTCAGATCTAAAAACACGTGTTCAAGTTTTTTGGTGTGTTTTATTTCTTTATTAATATTGACTTAATGGAGACGAAGGCCAAAATTTAATGAGAGCCAGCTTTTTAGTTGTTTCACATTAATTTTAACAATTTATATCAAACTTGAAATGTAATTTGCCTCCTGATGTTTCCTCAGTTGTCATGTCACGTACGTTGATAGTTTTTTCCTGAAATTTAAATATACCTGTTTGATCTGTTAATTGTAAGATACTTTGTCAATAAAACTATTTAACATAGCAAATATAATAAGTGCCATTATTTGTGAAGGTTCCATGTGTTTGGTATTGAAGCACATTTTGAAATTTTTTTTGTTACATCAAATATATAGCTTGAAAGTCATGTTTTGTTATATATCTAGCTTGGAAATGGAAGAAAAATGGTAAGCAATTAGCAACTGGGGATATCTGCCACTGCATTTTCTTTTTTTATAAATAGAAGAACTTTTTAGCTTTTCCGAGAGTATGGGTGTAATCAAATACAGTTTTTAGAAGTAAGGTTTCTCATGATTTTAATTTAGTAAACAACAAATAATATTCCATGCTGACTGATAAATGGAATTGAATAATTATAATATAACCACGAAAATCTTAATGTTACTTTCTATTTACAAAATTTGTCTAAATGTTCGGAGTGAAATTGGTATGAAAATCTTAGTTTTTAATGATATTTAGAAAAATGTACAAGAAATTAGCTGTTGTTTTACTACATGTATAATACAGGCTTCAGCTTGAAGAGAAGTGGTGAGGATTTAGAAATGTGGTGCTCAAATTTAAAACAGCACAGAGTTTGTATCTGATTGAAGTCATACACATTAAACTAACTTGCACTTTTCTGGATTTTTTTGTGTGAAACTTTCTGGGTTTTTTTGCTGACCCAGTTTTTTTTTGTGTTTTTAAAGAAGAAAAAAACAGACAAAATACTCTCCATTGCATTCATCATAAAGAGTGTGGCTAAGATTGAAGTGTTGCCAGTATTTATTCTGTGTGTATATTATACATTTACAGGTATTTAAAAATTATGGCAGAGAATACAGATTTTGAAATAAGTATAGAATCAAACCTGAATGAACTTTATAATTTATACTGAACACAGTGTGCACCCTCGTGTTCCGGGTCATTGTGCCTGAAATATTGTTCAGGACATTGCGGCCCTTCCTTGACCAGTAAAGAATGAAAACCTTTATACAACTGTGATAGAGGAAGTGTACCTGAAACCTGGACCAAATATTTTAATTTTTTCAAAGGTTTCATAGCAATTTGTAAAGCTGTTCTGTTATTTTAGCTATTACAATAGTCATATTTTATGGCCTAGGAATTTAGTTACTATGGCTGATCTTACATTTCTTTTCAATTTTTCATAATATCTAGCATTTTGTCATTAAAAAGTCTTAAAGTAACAATTGACTATTTCAAAATTTAAAGGAGGACTTTAACAATATTTAAACATATTTTTGAAAACCAGTTTTCAGCCTTGCAAAAAATCAATAAAAAAGGACAAAATATAACCGTTAAGAAATTCATGAAATAAATAGAAAATTTGTTTGTTTGGCATATCAAATAATATTTAGCTCACAAACATCAATGTTAATATTTCATTTTTGGATATGCCACTTTATTAAATAATGCATCTGGTGTTCTAAACTTTGTTTTATTTTATGCAAAACAAACAAAAATGTATATCTGTAGAATTTAATGTCATTTATTTTAATTATATACCTGTTACAACATATTATTCAAAAAATATTTTTTACATGAACAGGTTTGAAGCAGAGGAGGAAGAATTGAAAAGATTACGTAATTTTCTGGCTAGGAAAGTAGAATCAGGTGACTCAGATAAAACCATGTGGTAAGTTACCTTTTGATTTGTATTTTAGTATTATACATTCACTTACATGATCTTTTGTTTCTTAACGTGATTCAAAATAGGTACATACACAGTATAAAACAATTGCAATATATCATGTATATATTCCATGGTCAGATTGAAGGTTTTTATGTACTGAAATTTCAGAAACATTTACTGTTAAATGTATAGGTTACCATTGTTATTGTTAAATTTGTCGGTAACCATTATTATGCCCCCATTTTGAAAAAAAGGGGGTATATTGCTTTGCACTTGTCGGTCCGTCGGTCCGTAGACCAAATGGTTTCCGAGTGATAACTAAAGAACCCTTAGGCCTAGGAACTTCAAACTTGGTATGGTGATTGGTCATGACCAGTAGATGACCCCTATTGATTTTGGGGTCAAGGGGTCAAAGGTCAAGGTCACATTGACCTTGAAAGCAAAAACGGTTTCCGATCAATAACTAAAGAACCCTTAGGCCTAGGAACTTCAAACTTGGTATGGTGATTGGTCATGACCAGTAGATGACCCCTATTGATTTTGGGGTCAAGGGGTCAAAGGTCAAGGTCACATTGACCTTGAAAGCAAAAACGGTTTCCGATCAATAACTAAAGAACCTTAAGGCCTAGGAACTTCAAACTTGGTATGGTGATTGGTCATGACCAGTAGATGACCCCTATTGATTTTTGGGGTCAAGGGGTCAAAGGGTCAAGGTCACATTGACCTTGAAAGCAAAAACGGTTTCCGATCAATAACTAAAGAACCTTAAGGCCTAGGAACTTCAAACTTGGTATGGTGATTGGTCATGACCAGTAGATGACCCCTATTGATTTTGGGGTCAAGGGGTCAAAGGTCAAGGTCACATTGACCTTGTAGGTAAAAACGGTTTCCGATCAATACCTAAAGAACCTTAAGGCTTAGGAACATCAAACTTGGTATGGTGATTGGTCATGATCAGTAGATGACCCCTATTGATTTTGGGGTCAAGGGGTCAAAGGTCAAGGTCACATTGACCTTGTAGGTAAAAACGGTTTCCGATCAATACCTAAAGAACCTTAAGGCCTAGGAACTTCAAACTTGGTATGGTGATTGGTCATGATCAGTAGATGACCCATATAGATTTTGGGGTCAAGGGGTCAAAGGTCAAGGTCACATTGACCTTTTAATTAAAAACGGTCTCTGATCAATAACAAAAGAACCCTTAGGCCTAGGAACTTCAAACTTGGTATGGTGATTGGTTATGACCAATCAGATGACCCCTATTGATTTTGGCGTTAAGGGGTCAAAGGTCAAGGTCACATTGACCTTGTAGGTAAAGCGGTTTCCGATCAATAATGAAAGAACCCTTAGGCCTAGGGACTTCAAACTTGAGATGGTGATTGGTCATGATCAGTAGATGACCCCTATTGATTTTGGGGTCTAGGGGTCAAAGGTCAAGGTCACATTGACCTCTTAGGTAAAAACGGTTTCCGATCAATAACTAAAGAACCCTTAGGCCTAGGAACTTCAAACTTGGTATGGTGATTGGTCATGACCAGCAGATGACCCCTATTGATTTTGGGGTTAAGGGGTTAAAGGGCAAGGTCACATTGACCTTGTAGGTAAAAATGCTTTCCGATCAATAACTTAAGAACCCTTATTGCTAGGAACTTCAAACTTGGTATGGTGATTGGTCATGACCAGCAGATGACCTATTGATTTTGGGGTCAAGGGGTCAAAGGTCAAGGTCACATTGACCTTGTAGGTAAAAACGGTTTCTGATCAATTAACTAAAAACGCTTAGGCCTAGGAACTTCAAACTTTGTGTGATGATTGGTCGTGACCAGCAGATGACCCCTATTGAGTTTTAGGTGAAGGGGTCAAAGGTCAAGGTCACATTGACCTTTTAAGTAAAAACGGTTTCTGATCAATAACTCAAGAACGCTTAGGCCTAGGAACTTCAAACTTGGTATTTTGATTTGTCATGACCAGCAGATTACTCCTATTGATTTTCGGATCAAGGGGTCAAAGGTCAAGGTCACAATGACCTTGTAAGTAAAAACGGTTTCTGATCAATAACTAAAGAACGCTTCGGCCTAGAAACTTCAAACTTGGCATGGTGATTGGTCATGACCAGCAGATGACCCCTATTGATTTTGGGGTCAAAGGTCAAGGTCACATTGACCTTGTATGTTAAAACGGTTTCCGATCAATAATAAGAGAACCCTTAGGCCTAAGAACTTCAAACTTGGCATGGTGATTGGTCATGACCAGCAGATGACCCCTATTGATTTTGGGGTCAAGGGGTCAAAGGTCAAGGTCACATTGACCTTGTAGGTAAAAACGGTTTCTGATCAATTTACTAAAAACGCCTAGGCCTAGGAACTTCAAACTTTGTATGATGATTGGTCGTGACCAGCAGATGACCCCTATTGAGTTTTGGGTCAAGGGGTCAAAGGTCATGGTCATGACCAGTAGATACTTTATAACCCTTATTAATTGTTTGATCACTGGGTCAGAAGTCATGCATAATAACCTTATCACATGACTTATTGGCTGCTGATAGGGGGCATACATGTTTTACAAACATATCTTGTTATTGTTAAATGTATGGGTAACCATTATTACAGGCAGGAGATGAATCGAGTAATTCAAGATCTGAGTCGTCAAATGACTACACATCTAGACTCAACAAGGGGTGGAGACAAAGAGAAGAGTCCCGAGTCCCTTGTATCTAGGTTACGTAAACAGGTAGCTGAAGTTCAGGGTGAACTAAGTACAGAGAAATCCCTACATCAGATCACTAAGACGTCGTTGGTGGCGCTAGAAGAAGATTGTCAAAGGTTACGTAAACAGTTACATCATTATCGGAGACGTGATCCACCTTCCGGAGAAAAGTAAGTAAAATATCTTGTCTACATAATATAAATTAAAATCTATGTTAAAATGAGGCTTTAAAATGCCTGCTTTATAAATCTCCTCTTTGTAATATTAACTAAATCAACGTTAATATGAGGATTTAAAATGTTTGCTATATAAATTTAAAGAGGAATATCTGTCGCTGTCTTTGGAAATTGTTTTTACACTTCGGGCGCTTTCATCTACTTATTTTTATTTTAACTACTCTGGAGAAATCCCTGCATATATGAAATCAGAGGCTTTCTTGGCAGAGTGGTTTAAACATATATATATATTTTAAGGGCGGAAACTTGTCCTATTCTTCATTAGGTTTTAATACCTTATGGGAGGTTGCTAGTTTTATACTTGAAATAATTCATATAGGGACTCGGTATAAAATCATCCTTCCGGAGAAAATTAAGTAAAATATCTTGTCTACGTATTATTTATTCAAATCTTTGGTAATATATGGCTTTAAGATGCCTGCTTTATAAATCTCCTCTTTGTAATATTAACTGAATCAAAGTTTATATGAGGATTTAAAATGTTTAAATTGTAAAACTTACCATAATAGTGTATGAGTGACAGTTTGACCTTAAAATAAAAATATTATTATATGAAATATTCATTTCTTGGTATGTTTATTAAGTTTAGAGAGTACACCAATTATGCCAGTTGTGAACAGGTAACAGAAGAATAAATCACCTTGTTCTTACATTTGTCTTATATTATATACCTGATGCAATAAACTAAAACATGACACAGTAGTTAAAGCATGGTCCTGTTTTATTAAAAGTTGATATTTAACAACAAAAAACTCTAATTAAAAGAAAGTTGATAATTTACATTAGAAAATGCCTATTTAATCACATTTATAGCACATTTAATTGTAATGTTATTATGTAAAGCTAGTAATATGTAATTTAGACAGTTTTTAGCTCGACTATTCGATAAGAATAAGTAGAGCTATTGCAGTCACCCGAGCGTCGGCGCAACCACTTATGTTAAAGTTTTTGTAACAGTTCAAATATTTTCAAAGTCCATAGACATATGGCTTTGAAACTTTGCACACTTGTTCACCATCATGGCCCCAACCTGTAGACAAGAGGAGGTAACTCTATCAAGCATTTTGACAGAATTATGCCCCTTTTTCGACTTAGAATTTACGTTAAAGATTTTGTAATAGTTCAAATATTTTCAAAGTCCATTGACATATGGCTTTGAAACTTTGCACACTTGTTCAACATCATGACCCCAACCTGTAAACAGGAGGAGGTAACTCTATCAAGCATTTTGACAGAATTATGCCCCTTTTTCGACTTAGAATTTACGTTAAAGTTTTTGTAATAGTTCAAATATTATCAAAGTCCACTGGCATATGGCTTTGAAACTTTGCACACTTGTTCACCATCATGACCCCAATCTGTAAACAGGAGGAGGTAACTGTATCAATCATTTTTTTTACTATCAAGCACTAAGAATAGTCGAGCGTTGCTGTCCTACCGACAGCTCTTGTTGATGTATTTAATTTCTGAAATTATTACCCTTTTGACATGCAGTAGTTGGTGATGCAACTACTTATTAATGCTTTCTTCTTATAGCACTAAGTTTTGTGTGGCCAGGAACATTTATGTATTTCTAATTATCAATTACCAATACCAGCATATACTGAACGCCATTTGTTTTCACTTTTAATGACATATTAATATTCACATGTTACATTGTTCATGTTATTTATTAAATGTAACTTATACCCTAATCGTTATTATATAAAACTTAAAACTCACAATACTCACTTCGTAACAGATACTTTAACTTTGTATTATTATAAGAAATAAGTGAAAAATATATTTATCATAAAAGAAAATTCTTATAATTTACTCTATTATGACTTTGTTATGTAAAAATCAGTTTATTTCTTACATAAATGACTTAATTATGTAAAAATCAGTATGATTTTTGAAAATTTCTTTAAGTTTGTTATATCATAATTCTCAGCCATTATAGATATGTGATGGCTGTAACTTTGAAATTTTGTTGCAAATTAATAAAAAGTTCATTTCAAGTTAAAATATAAATATATATGTGAAACAGTTGCTTTGTTTCTTTTCTTCTTCTTCTTTTTACAAGCTAGCCGAACCAATAAATGTCTAGGTGAAGTTTTATACATATTCACTGCTTATATAGAATAAATTTATTCGAAAAAGCATTTTTTTTTTCCACAGAAAACACAAAAACAGAATGGAGGCAATCAATGCTATAATTGCCAGGTCACAGTCCCAGGCGCAAGCTCTTCTGTCTTCAGGGGGTTACTTTGATGACAGTATGGTCAGCCCTAGAGTCCGCACACACCAGGCCAGTACCAGAGTTGGATTTCACAGTCCACGTCATGCAGACTCCCCGGACAATTCCTACTGTGAAGATTTGTCCGTTGCTAGTTTACCACCAATGCATTATGGGCTTCCATCTTCAAAATCATAGTATAGCTTATGCATTTTGAACTGTATAGTAGCATATAGCTAGTACATACTGAATTGTACAGTAGAGTATAGCTAGTGCATACATGAACTGCACAGTATAGTATAGGTACTGTACAGTAATATGGTCATCAAGTTTAGTTAATGGATATTGAAATGTCTTGATTAATAAGTTATTTAGTTGGTGCATATAATACACAAGTATTACAGTTCAGTGTGTTTTATTAATTTTAGCCAAGACAAATACTGTGTACATTACCATTGTAGTTTTTCACAATTCATACAGTATAGACTTATCTCGATGGAATATTGTAAAAGTATAGCCTATACATACTGAACTGTCATAAAACATTGTATTAAATCTTACTATGCATTATTTCTACAGCAGCTGATTACAAATTTGTATGATATTTTAAGAGAATATAACTGCCAGTATTTTATTTTGATATTGTCAGTCATATGATATTATATAGTTTAATAGTAGCAGTAACTAGAAAAACATACAGAATATATAAATGATTATATCTTTTTTATATGTTTTATATAAGTATTTACTGTAGAAATTAGTCACAAACATTCCGTCCTTGATGCTTTACATGACTTAATTTTCATAAACATTAAATTATAATCAAAACCACAATACTAGGAGAAATTCATAGATTTAGTGATATATTGACTTATTTTATGTTTGTTACCATTGCAATGTATTATTCCTATGTAAAAATATGTTAGTTGTAGTTGTCCGTCCATGATATTACCTTTTATCTATACAAGCATACATGTCTATATTATTGTATTTATCACAAATCTTGTATGTATAGATGATATTTGTTTTCATTGATGTGATATAGTTTTTAGTTCACTGAGGCTAGAAAATATTAAAATATTCTCAAAAGATAAAAGTTATAGGAAGTATAAAGGGAAATGTTATAGGAAAATGTGAAAACCAAACTCTTTTTTCTATTCATGCTATTATTTGGACAACAAGTTTTGAGTACATTTAACTTGTATATGAAAACATGTAATTGCAAAAGGGTCATCATAATAGTGTTATTGCATTATAATTGTCAACCTTCTGTTTGATACCAGATTGAAATAAACTTAAATATTATTATGCCCCCACTTCGAAGAAGAGGGGGTATATTGCTTTGCACTTGTCGGTCCGTCGGTCCGTAAACCAAATGGTTTCCGAGTGATAACTAAAGAACCCTTAAACCTAGGAACTTCAAACTTGGTATGGTGATTGGTCATGACCAGAAGATGACCCCTATGGATTTTGGGGTCAAAAGTCAAGGTCACATTGACCTTGTATGTTAAAATGGTTTCCGATCAATAACTAAAGAACGCTTAGGCCTAGGATCTTCAAACTTGATATGGTGATTTGTCATGACCAGCAGATGACCCCTATTGAGTTTGGGGTCAAGGGGTCAAAGGTCAAGGTAACATTGACCTTGTAGGTAAAAATGGTTTCCGATCAATAACTAAAGAAACCTCAGGCCTAGGAACTTCAAACTTGGTATGGTGATTGGTCATGACCAGCAAATGACCCCTTTTGATTTTGGGGTCAAGGGGTCAAAGGTCAAGGTCACATTGACCTTGTTGGTAAAAACGGTTTCCGATCAATAACTTAAGAACCCTCAGGCCTAGGAACTTCAAACTTGGTATGGTGATTGGTCATGACCAGCAGCAGATGACCCCTATCGATTTTGGGGTCAAGGGGTCAAAGGTCAAGGTCACATTGACCTTGTAGGTAAAAACGGTTTCCGATCAATAACTAAAGAACGCTCTGGCCTAGGAACTTCAAACTTGGTATGGTGATTGGTCATGACCAGAAGATGACCCCTATTGATTTTGGGGTCAAAGGTCAAGGACACATTGACCTTGTAGGTAAAAATGGTTTCCGATCAATAACTCAAGAACCCTTAGGCCTAGAGACTTCAAACTTGGTAAGATGATTGGTCATGACCAGCAGATGACCCCTATTGATATTGGGGTCAAAGGTGTCAAAGGTCAAGGTCACATTGACCTTGTTGGTAAAAACGGTTTCTGATCAAAAACTAAAGAACGCTTAGGACTAGGAATTTCAAACTTGGTATGATGATTGGTCATGACCAGCATATGACCCCTATTGATTTTGGGGTCAAAGGTCAAGGTCACATTGACCTTTTAGGTAAAAACGGTTTCCGATCAATAACTAAAAAAGGCTTAGGCCTAGGTACTTCAAACTTGGTATGACGATTGGTCATGACCAGCAGATGACCCCTATTGATTTTGGGGTCAAGGGGTCAAAGGTCAAGGTCACATTGACCTTGTAGGTAAAAACGTTTTCCGATCAATAACTAAAGAACCCTTAGGCCTAGGAACTTCAAACTTGGTATGATGATTGGTCATGACCAGTAGATGACCCCTATTGATTTTGGGGTCAAGGGATCAATGTCATAGTGACCTTGTACTTAATGACCGTTTTTGACCAATATCTCAACAACTCAAGTTGCCTTGGTTGATATTTTTATGTGCTTTTGGTATACACATTTGAAGGTCTTATGCAATATAACTGTAATATAACAACTTGGCTGTCATTAATGAGGCCTATGTGATTCATAAAATTAATGTATATATTATTTGGTAAGATTTTTAATAGCTTTAATTGCTGCACACAACCTATGGGGTCACAATAATTATTACCTTGTGACTAGTCATGACCAGTAGAAACTAGATAACCCTAATTAATTGCTTGTTCACTGGGTCAGAAGTCATGCATAATAACCTGATCACATGACAAATTGGCTGCGGATAGGGGGCATACATGTTTTACAAACATATCTTGTTATTTTAATGAGGCACCTCTATGTTTGAGTTTACAAAATTTGATTAATAAATATTTAGTAAAGTATTATTTTAGAATAATAAAGGAATTTGAATTATAGGTATATATTTAGTTAGAAAATCGTTGACTAATAGAATAATAGTATTAGAAAGCAAGCAATACAGAATTTATCCATTAGCACTGCATAAATCACCTAAAAACAACAAGACTTGTCTTATATTTAAAGGAACAGGCCTACTCTTATATTTTTATCATACTATATGATGTTATCTGCAATATTTGAATGTCTGAAGATTAAGAAACTTAGATATCTGGGAATTTTTTGCAATATATTGAAATAAAGCAGTAATAAATATGTGTTCATTACCATTTAAGACATTCTTATCATACATTACCGACATCAATTAGGTTAATTCATTATTCTAGTTGTACATTCCTGGGTCTGTCACAAACTTTTCCATGATGATTTGGTTCAAAATGATTATGTTCTAAATGATACTTTATAATTTGCATTAGTTTTTCAAAGCCTATAATCAAATACATGGATTTTCATGCTGTTGTTGTTGTTTTTTTGTTGTTGTTCTATTTTTTAGGGGGGGGGGGGGTGGAAAATTAAGCATTTACTTGCAGAAAAAAAGACAATATGACAAAAATGTACGAGTATTGATTAATAAGTTATAATAGTTAATGACTTATATAATATTGTAATCTCACATAAAACCTAACAAACAAACAATGGTATAACATTAAAACATTAAAACCTAACTTATCTTTCCATATAAATCCAGCTGATTTGATGTATTTTATGTAATGTATATTGTATGTATGTTTTATTTCTACACGTTTCTGTGATACACATTTTAAGCACACACCAAAATTGCATTTGGATTTTTTTTAAAGATATGTTTTAAAACATACTTATTTTATTTTGATTGTATAATAGTGTGATATGTTTGTTATCTGTGATTTGAATCTATTTTGTCTACTGATTTATAAACATTCCAGATATTTATTGAATTAATTTGTAGCCATAAACGAATATTACTGATTTTAGAAGATGAAAAATAGTTAAAGATCCTGTAACTAAAGTTTTTATGGTTTTATAACATAAACATGATGCTCAAATGAAGATTTATCAATATTGTAAGTTCCAAAAAGCATTTTTTGTAAAGATATTACCGAATTTACATTTCATGTAAAGAAAGGGAGGTAGTAAGAAATTTATTTTCTATAAAGTCTTAGCCAAAATTTTCAGTAAGAAAGGTTTCTTATTTCAAGCAGTGAGAAAAGTTGAGGACTGTCCTCTTGACAGCTCTAAAAATATTTAAAAAGCTTGGTCATATTGAAATTCAAAAATTCAACATGCAAAAAATGTAATTGTAACATTTGTAATACAAAAGTTTTAGTAGGGTATAAGCATGTTGTAATTTGAGAACAGAATGATGTTGTATAGATGTTTTCTTCTTTTTAATGTTAGTATAATGGACACATATATTTTTCTTTTCGATTTTTTAAACTTAGTTCAACAGGGAAGTACATTAGTATAGTGGTTTGGCTAGTAGAATCAAAATGAAATTTATATAACATTTGTAATTTTGCTCCTCTGCTACTACATGAAGTAACAATTGTGGAAAACTCTAAAATGTCAAACAAAATGTGCCAGAATCCCAGTAAGTAAGCAAAGTTAACAATAAGCCCTATTTAGATTGTATGATAAAGTGGTAACTTTATTTAAAACTTGTCCTTCACTCAAAACCATAATTTCTGAAACTCTTGTAGTAAGATTTAGTAAATCACGAATGAAAGCACTCTTTCTTACAGATTATATAAACCAATATCTATGTGATGTAACATTATAAATTATTTATATACAAATTACAATAACAGCATTCAACTGACTCAAATTCTTGCCAGTATGGTAGTTCTATTGGTTGTTGTATGTATGTTGGTGGTTGTCTATTTTTCACATTGAAGATTTCAGCAAAATTCTGAATCATTACATTTTCAAACGTATTTCCATATAGTATAACAAATGTATTTTATAATATTTGTACCAATATATATGTTGCTGTTTGTCTATTTTCACATTTTAAATTACATCAAAATTCTGAATCATTCCATTTCTCAAAATCTATTTCCATATAGTATAACAAATGGATTTTATCATATTTGTAAAAGTTTATATGTTGCTCTTTGTCTATTTTCACATTTAAAATACAAGTATAGCAAAATGCTGAATCATTCCATTTTCATTTATTGCAAAACTCTTTTCCATAAAGTAAATATCAATTGTATTTTATAATAAATGTACCAGTATTTAACTGTAATTCTATTATGCGAAGCTGAATAAAGCATTAACTGAAAGAAATCTGTGTTGATATATTGTGATGTGGCCCAAAACTGAAAACAGAAATCTACTTATTTGTCATTTAGCGACATTCGAGCTTTACTGGTGGAAAAAGACCAAATGCAGTGACCCTTCTGTGCATTATTTCAGGCACAAAAGGATATTTACTAAGATTTTATGATAGGCCACTAAAGATCTTCAGTGACATGCCAAACAATTTGAATAGCAGGTGTCAAACTAATTAAACAAGCCCTGTATCAAAGTTTTGGGGTCAAAGGTCAAGATTGCAACAATGAATATTGTTTGTACCTTTATATTAAGAAAGACCTGGCATACTGCTTCCAATATTTTAACGATCTCACATGGTAAGCAAGAAAATCATTGTGGGATCAATAAGTTATAGATGAAAAGGCATTGTTTGGCCTTGAGAGTTAAATCAGCCTCTGAAAAGAGCTTTGATATATTTGACACTTCCAAAGATCAGGTT